CTCCTCCTAGGTGTATACCTAAAAGAATTTAAAGCAAAAAGCAAAGACTCAAGCAGAGACCGACCCCAGTCTTCATAGCAGCCTTAGTCTAGTCTCTGTAGCTAAGAAGTTGGAGTCTGTCAACATGTCCATCAACAGGATGGATGAACAAAATGTGGAGTGGATGTACAGGGAATAATTCACCCTTAAACAGGAGTGAAGTTCTGATACATGCTGTCACTTGGGTGAACCTTAAGAACATTAAGTGAAGCAAGCCAAACACAAGGGCTAAAATCCCACGTGTACAGGTACTCAGACTAGGCAAATTTGTAAACAGAACGTTAAATAGAGGTTGCCAGGGACTGAATAGGAGGGGACGGGGGATGATGTTTGGGGTGGTGAAAATACTCTGGACATGGGTGGTGGTCATGGTTGCACAACATGAAGGCACTTAATGCCATTGAATTATACATTTAAATGTGGTTGAAATGGTCACCTTTGGGCCAGCAGGTGGCGTGGTGGTTAAGAGTGCTGAAGACCCACATGGCCGACAGGGTTTGAGTCCCAGATCTGGCTGCTTACTTTCTCTCTCTCACTCTGTCCCTCTCTGGTCAAATTTAAATAAATAAAATGTGATTAAATGGTAATATTTATGATACATATCATATGAGAGAGATATATATTTTATATGTGTGTGTGTATATATTTTATATATATATAATCACAATTAAATATAGATTCTTCTGGTTTAGGTCAGGCTTCAGAACTTTAGTATAAGAGTCAGCCCTTTAACGTAGTAGTTAATGACAGCTGGATTTTACATTGCTGTCTGGTTCAAATCCCGGCCCTGGTGGCTTGCTAAACATGCTGGTCACATGTGCATGCATGCCCCAGATAGTGACAAGATGGAGAAGTGGAGAAGAGATTGGAGCATGCCCATGCCCCACTGGATAGGGCTGTCTCCTTCTCTCTCTCTCTCTCTGCCCCCCTCCTTCCCTTTCCCTCTCTCTGCCTAGTGCGTACCTCTGGCAATTAAACCGATAATGAATGTGAGTGTTTTTGACATCTCTTTGGACGCAGGTTTTGATATGACCATAGCACACAGTGGGGGCCTCCCCAGGGAAAGACAGCATCTCCTGAGCCCAGCTTTGCGGTCCAACACTAACTGCAAGACTAAATTTGCCATTTGTCTCTCACATCTAGGCTATCCATCCTGGATATGGTTTTCTTTCAGAAAACATGGAATTTGCCGAACTTTGTAAGCAAGAAGGAATTATTTTTATAGGTCCTCCTTCATCTGCGATTAGAGACATGGGTATAAAGAGGTATGAGTTTAGATTTTTTAAAATATAACCCTGTGTGAGATCAATGGAAATCATTTGCTTTACTTATAATAACTATAATTATTACAGTTGATCTTTGTACTTTATAGGTTCGAACTACATGGATCCACTTACATATGATTTTGTTTTTGAGCAAATTCTGTAACTGTGCTTTCTTTTTCTTATGTTTTTCTTAATAACATTTTCCTTTCTCTAGCTTGCTTTATTGTAAGAATACGGTATTTAAGGCATATATCATACAGAATATGTGTTAATCAGCTGTGTTCATGGTAAGACTTCCAGCCAGAAGTGGACTATTAGCAGTTAAATAGTGGGGAGTCGGGAATCATATACGACTTTCTGACTGCATGTGGAGGTGACGGCTCATGCTTCTGACCCCTGCATTGTCCAAGGGTCAACTGTATGCCCTGTAATTGTTGTAGGCTGAACTTGTTTGTCTCCTGGGGAAATTCCATCGAGTTACAAAAACTATTCAATTACTTAGCGTTTCGAATCAATATATTCATTAGTTTGGGTGGATGAAAATAAGGTGGGATGAGCTACCACGTGAAATGAGGAAAACTGACCAGTAGGCGTGCTGGCGTTTGCATTAGTATTCACTGTCTCAGACAGCCCTTTCTTTACCCGAGGAGTGTTTTCTTTAAATCGTCCCACTGCGATGTATATTTGTGTTTCACTTCTATGTAGTAGTTCTTAGAACGGGGGCATCTTGAGGCTGGCAGGTGGCGTGGTGGTTAGGGGCGCTAGACTTCCACGTGGCTGACCATGGTTCGAGTCCCAGACCTGGCGGCCTGCTTTCTCACTCTCCCTTTCTCTCTTTTTCTCTCTGTGTCTCACTCTGGTCAAATTGAAAATAACAATAACGATAAGTAAAATAAAGGGGAAAATTCTAAAAAGAAAGAATTGGGACATCTTGTGGAATTTTTTTTCTTCTTTTTTTTAACACTACAAGCACATCCAAATCCATAATGGCTGCAGCCGGGGTCCCCGTGGTGGAAGGTTACCACGGCGAGGACCAGTCAGACCAGTGCCTGAAGGAGCATGCTGGGAAAATCGGTTACCCTGTCATGATCAAAGCAGTCCGTGGCGGAGGAGGAAAGGTGAGAGGGTGCCCACTTATGTTGGCCACTCCTGGCTAGATTTCCCTTTTTCCCTTTTGTTTATGTTGTCCCATCTGTCTTTTCTGTCTTAGGGCATGAGAGTGGTTAGATCAGAAAAGGAATTTCAGGAGCAGTTAGACTCAGCACGGAGAGAAGCTAAGAAGTCTTTCAATGATGACGCCATGCTGATCGAGAAGTTTGTGGACACGCCAAGGTGGATTTAGTTTTTTGTTCTTTTTTTTTTGCTACAGGGCGCGTGCGCTAACCAGAGAGACAGAGACGGACAGAAAGCAAGAAATCACCCCCCAGGGTGGATGACCATGCCACAATCCCTTCTCCTCCATTCTCCTCTTGGGATCTTGGGCACGCATGCACACGCGCCCGGTGTGAGTTTAAGCCACCGGATCTGGGATGCGAACCGCAGTCAACTACATAGGAGTCCAGCGACATAGCCATTACGCTAACTGCTGGTCCCATGTTCTGACTCTTTTTAGGTTAAATGATAAAGTGATGCATGCACAGGTCTGACAGCTGGCATGCTGGTTGTGGTGGTAGACTGCCACATGGCCAACCGTGGTTTGAGCCTTGGACCTAGTGGCTTGCTTTCTTGCTTTCCCTCTCTCTCTCTCTGGTCAAATTTAAATTTAAAAAATAATAATAAATAAAATTAAATGAAGTAATTCTTTAAAAAATAGGAGTAGTACATACACACTCTATAAAACGTAAAATTCTAATAGTAACAGAGTACCTTAAGCTCCTCATTCTCTCCCCACTGTAACCTCCGATGATTACAGGATGGTATGCATTCTTCCAGGCGTTTCCTTTTTCTTTGTAATTTTTCCAGAGGGTACATGTACTTTCGGAGAGAAAGAGACAAAAAGAGAGAAAGCAAGCAAGCAAGCACCCCACGCCATGAGGGATGGTCACAGCGTCATCCCTTCTCTCCCGTGTCCTTTTTCAGGATTTGGGGTACACGCACGTGCTCCACTGTGTTTTTCAAGTGTTTGGGTCCAGGACCTGAACCGTGCACGTGGCCATGTGGCATCCAGCTGCCTTAACGTCATGCTACAGGCTGGCCCGTCTGTCATTTAAAATAAGATACTGATTGTAAAGTTTCTTGTTTCAGAGATGATTGAGGATAATTTAAAAGTGTGTGTGTGTGTGTGTGTGTGTGTGTGTGTGTGTGTGTGTGTGCCTGTCAAGTGAGAAGAGTAGTTCAGTAGTTCATTTGGGAACCATGACCAGAAGGGGATTTACCTTACAGATAACAAACTGAAGCTTCAGGCCCTTCCCTTGTATGAGCCTCCTTCTCTTTTCTTTTTTGTTTTGCTTTGTGTTATACCACAGGGCTTGTGTCTCTCACCAGAGAGAGGGAAAATGAGAACTGATCCACAGGGGGTTGGACACACTGCAGTCCCTTCCCCTCCGTTCTACTCCTGGGATTTTAGACACACACATACACACACACACACACACACACATACACAGCCAGACTGATTTTCAAGCGCTCAG